GCTTCTTGAGGCAGATGTTGTGTCAGACTAGAAGGCAGGAAGCTTCCAGAAGGGCAGGTAGACTAAGAGGCAGGAAGTATCTGCACTGGACAAGAAATGGTCTACCCAGAAGTAGGAATTTAAGGCAAAGCTTATTCAACTTGGATCACATAATTAACTTCTGAGTTTTTGTTTTGTTTGGTTGCGGCAGGGTCTCCGTATTATGCAGCCCTGGCTGCCCTGGAACTCTTTCTGTAGACCATGCTGGCCTCAAACTCACAGAAATCCACCTGTCTCTGCCTCTCACATGCTGAGATTAAAGGTGTGTGCCACCACACTCTTGTTTTTCATTAGCCTCTTTGAGAAATGTTCCAGAACTTTCCGTGAAGACCCTGCGGCTTGAAACACCCTTCTCTGCTGCCAAGCCTCCCCCTTCCTCTTGAACAGACTGTGTCCCTTTGTCAAGAAATTCATCATATGACACATTTTCCCAGTCCACGTCAGGGCATTCTAGTAGGCCCCTTTAAGTGTTTAAATGCACTGAGAGGCAAGGCCAGAAAGGGGCAAAAGGAGAACAAATCAGTGCCGAATGGAGGTAGTCCAGGTGCTTTTAGCCAATTAAACCCAACAAGAGCCAAAGCCCTCTTCCTATCCAACCACAGAAGACACACAAGTAAAACAAACACGTGGTCAATTTTTGGTGGCCAGGCACAAAGGTGGGCCTCTCCAGATCACTTCCCAGCTGGCTGGGTGGGGCTCAGAGATGAAAATCTCTGCTCTCTCCCTTCAGGGTTCCAGAGAAATCTCAAAACCTGGGGAAAGGTGGGCCGGAGGCAGCCTGTTTCTTCTGTGAACAATTGTGGCGCGTCGGCTTTGATGTCGTCTACCTCTAGCTTCCCCTCCCTCCCTCCCTCCCTTCTTTCATAGGCCGCCTGTGTTGGAGGGTGCAGTTCATAATGAGATCCTCTCAGCTTGGGTGGCGGGGAAGCCTGACCACCCTTTGTGTAGTATCAATGCAGGCTGGCTCACTGTCTAGGCCAACCATTTTGTATGTCCTGAAGTGGAGATCGAGGACTGCATGAAGCCACCCACACTCACTGACCTGCTCTTTTATGTGACATGCATTTAGCAAACAATCATCCAGGCTTCGAAGGTCAGTCCGTGGCTGGGGAATAGAGAGAAAGGCGCCTTTTCTCCCTTTTCTCCCGGAGCCACATCTCCCCCTTGCTGCCCCCGCCCCCTTTCAAGGTCTAGCTCTCACCCGAATCCCTCACAAAGCCGTCCCTCCCTCCTCTAGCTGTTGCTGACCTCAGAGTCCTGGCCGTGCTGGCCTCTGCTCCAAGAAGTACAATTAGCACCTGACCAGCCCCTGGCCTGGCTGCTTGTCCTGGCCTCTGACTGTTTCAGTGTCTTAGTCATCCCCGCCTCACCACCCCCTTCCCTCAGCTCCCCCACAGCTCATAGCACAGGTTGGGCACACAGTAGGTGTTAATAAATGTCTGCTGAATTGAAACTCCACAGCCCCTATGAGGTCAGAACCCTCATAAGCACCCCGACCAGCAGTTTCTTGGCAACCAGCGCTGGGGCCCGAGCTACAGGGCATTAGCAGCACAGCCGCTATTACAGGACACACGAGGCTCAGCAGCCAGAGATTTGCAGGTAGGTTGGTGTTGATGAGAAAAGCCCCTGACCCCTAGGAAAGCGCCCGTGGGATTCTGGGTACCTTTCATGAGTTTCTTTTCTCCCCTGCAGAACTAGTTTTCAGTCTGAGAACCACAGAGGGAATAAATTGGCAGTGAAGCCAGAAACCTTTTTGCAGCTTAGAGAACCAGGGGTGATAACCAAGGCTAGGTTGGGGTCAGGCCCAGAACAGAAGAGCGAGGGTTGCCCAAGGTTCTTCCTAATTCAGCAGGGGACCCTGGGATGTGAAAGAGGCATGCCAGGGGTGAGCCCTTCCATTCCAGAGGGCTTTAGGGGTGTTTGGGAGGGCCCTAAGTAATGCCATCCTGCCCTGACACCCAGTAAGCCACAGTCCAAATACCTCTTGCAGCCTGTGCATGAGCGCATTGTCCCTTCCTTCCAAATCTAAGGGCAGGCTTGAGGGGCAGATAGCACGCAGACGAGAACCGAACCATGGTCTCCAAGAAAGGAGAAGCCTTTATAGTGTGGGGTGCGTGGCCCAGGAGTTTGAGTCTGACTTTATTTTTATTTTGTAAATGTATTTTGTGTATGGGTGTTTCGACTGCATGTATATCGGTGCATCACATGTGGACCTGGGGCTCACGGAGGTCAGAAGGTGTCAGAATCCCTGGGACTGGCGTTACAGAGGATTGTGAGCCACCGCGTGGGTGGGAGCAATCAAACCCGGGTCCACGGCAAAAGCAGCCAGTGCTCTTAACTGTTGAGCCATGTCTCCAACTCCTTGAGTTTGGCTTGAAACTACATTATTTATACCGACGACTGATCCACTGTCTCTGGACTGCTCCTCCATCTACCACCATTTCAGCCTACAGACGACCCTGGAGGGCAAGTGGTTTCTGCATGGCCATATTTTCTCCGCTGATACTTCACTGGGGCCAGCTCACTGCTAGGGCTAGCTCCCAGCACATGTTTACTGAGCTGCATCTTAGGCACTGGATTAGCCAATATCACAGTGCCAGCGCCTGTCTGCTGTCGACCACCGCACAGTGTTCTAATAAGCAGCTGATATGTAACAATGTATTTGTTCCCCTCCAAGGATACATAAGCAAACCAAGGCATACAACTGATGGGGGGGCGGTAAATGACAAAGCTGGGGGTTCAATCCAGACAGACTAGCTCTTGTGACTGGGGGCAGAATGAGAAAGTTGGGGAAGCCCGGGAGTAAAGGGTTCCCTGGGGAAGCCATACTCTCAGCCAGTGTTTCACAGAGCCTTTCTGGGTTCAACGCCCTAAATTTTTGCAGCATTAGAGGTATTTTCAATGCGTTAGCAATTAGGCCCAGGACAGGTTATGAGGCCGGCATTTTAAGGTCCCAATATATTTGGGGCCCCCAGATTGGCCAGGGGTGGGCACTAGTTCCTGAGGAGCCAGCAAAACAGTCCAGCGGAGGGAGGAATGCCAGGCATAGTTGCAAACAAGCCACTCCTTCGGTTCACAGAGAGAGGCTGGCTGAGGGTGGCAATGGTGGAACCTGCTTCATAGACATCCCCCCCTCACAGACAACACAAGGGTTCACCGGCTTTGAACCCAACGCCAGAGACACCCACATGCAAGGCAGCCTCTTAAGGCAGCTAGCTCCACGTTGTCACTAATAATCTTACCACACCTAGAGACAGCTTCTGTGAGCCTAGCTTTTTTTCTACACTGGGTCAAGGAAACACTTTATAACTGGGGAAATCTTGGAACTGACTGACATTCTTACTTGGCCTACAGGTTTCCTGGGCATTTTCGATGCCAAAGCACCCTGTCTCCCCAAAGGGGAGAGAGAGAAATGGCTTCCCTTCACCTCCCTCCGTCCTGGCATTCAGGCCGAACAAGGGTCAGCTCACAGGGGCTGAATCCCTAATGGGTGTGCCCACCAGCTGTTGGAGCCAGCTGTGGTGGCTCAGGCCAGGGGCGGTGACCTCACTTCCGCTCTTACCTCCTCAGAACTCCTCCCATTTGAGGCCCCACCAGGCCAAAATCGAGAAGTCCAAGGTTAACTGTTACTCCCCACTTTAAGAGCTAATTAAAATGATTAGCTACAATGAACTGTCAAACATTAACTAGAAGAAGCTGCAGGACCAGACAGGCCTCTATCTCAGGCAGAGGGATGAGGGGAAGGAATCAAAGGGCCATCAAATCCCCGGGCTCCTCAGCTGGGGTGCGGTGGTGGCTGGGGTACCCAAGAGACCCCCGCTGGGCCGAGGTGCCAAGGGGTCAGGAGGTAACTCATCAGGAAGTCTAAATCCCAGGCCCAATCGGGAGGAAAGGGCAGCAAAGTTTAGGGGTACCGTGATGGGGGGGGCGGGAATCCACAAAGCGGTTGCCAGCTCAGCAGTCTCTGAGCCGCCAAAGGCAGACTCTGGCATTGGGGGACCTTTGCGCTGTGCGGTTACTGAGTCCCCTCAGAATATCAGGGGAGGAAGCCAAGAGGCGGGAGAACCTTGGAGAGCGGGAACGCGGGAGCGGGAAGCCTGGCGGCTGGCTTACACGGAAACTCCAGCCCCTGCCAAGAGGTCTCTATTTTGGCAGTTCAGGTCTCCAAGTCATAGGTTTACGTGCGAGCGTGTGTGCGTGTGCGTTCGCGCGCGCGCGCGAGTGTGTGTGCGTGTCTAAAGTGCCTGGCTGTGAAAGCCCTAGGGGCCACCGGTTCAGCACAGGCGAGCCGCTCCAGTGTGCTCAGCCTCCTGCTCTCCTGCCCTCGGGCGCTGAGATTGGCGGGGGGGGGGGGCAGTCCACATCGGCCCTTCCGTGGAGCCTAAGCTGCCCCGGGCTGGAGAGAAGTCCCTTGTCGCCCGGCTTCTGCCAATCAGTTCTACTTCTGGTGGCATCAGGAGTCCGGGCTCCTCACTGTACACAGGGCAGAGCGAGGCGAAGAACACTCCAGGAGCCCAGGCTGACGCACCCTTCTCGGTCCCCCCCCCCACTCCTACTCCCCGGCCTCGGTGCCCTTCATTCCCCACTCAGGCAAACTTTTCGAGGTCTCCCCGGCGTTTCGAGAAGCGGTGCCATCGACGTACCTGAGGTCCGGTGGTTTGCCGGTCGCGTTCGCTCACAGGGCTCCTCGGGTCGATGGCGAGTGGTCCCCTCCCCGTCCCCGGGGTTGAGACACGACTTCCCACCCCCGCCGGGCCGCCTTCTCCTCCCCCCCCCCCTCGAAAGCGGGGCTCCGGCAAGTGGCGCCTGGAGCTCGGCGCCGCGGAAAGGAGAAGTGGAAGTTGAGCGCGGCGCCCGGTCCGTCCTCGCGGCCGCCGGGGGCCGCCGTCGCCCGCCCTCCTCCCCTCCCTCCTTCTCTCCTCGGGGCCCGCCTGCCCCCACCGCCCGCGCCCGTGACTCACCTCGGCGCCGGGGCAGGCTGGTCCGGGCGGGCGGGCGAGGCACAGGGCTCTCCCACACGTCGCGCCGCCGCCAATGGCAAAGTTGGAGGGCGAGATGCAAACACCAGGTGAGACGGCGGCGCCCGGGCTCACAAGGAGACGGGGTGCCAGCTGTGAGATGGGAGGCCAGGGGGCGCCGGGGAGGCCGGGCCGCGCCGAGGGAGCGGCGGCGGTGGGCGCCCGCGGAGGGGCCGCGAGCCGGTGGAGACCTGCGCCGAGGCGAGCAAGAGAAAGGGGAAATCGCACTGGAGACACACGTCCCCGCGGGCGGAGGCTGGGCCGGGCGCGAAGGAGGCAGGGCGAGGAGGGACTGAAGAGCCGGAGGGAGGGACCGACGGGAGGGACCACGGGCCAGCGGGCGGGGTGGAGGAGGGGGGTTGGGAGGGACTAGGCACCGCGGTGGAAACAGCGCCCCTCCACCCTAACCCCGCCACGGTCGCCAGCACGGCAGGGGGAGCCTTGCCAGGGGCCCGCACGGGCTCTCCTTCCCGGAGAGGCTCGCTGCCCACCCTACCTCAGAGAAGACACAGCCCCTCCCGAGCTCACGTCGCATGAGCGGCTTCTCTAGCCAGCACCCCCACTCTGCTCATAATTGGCGGGCCCCGGGGCCCTCAGCTCTGACTGGGCGCTTCTCGGCGGGAAGTCCCACACAATATCCCGTGGAGATATCCTGGGGATTCTGGAAGGCGGTATCCAGCCACTCGGCCTGTGCACTCCAATCACTTGATACCTCCGCTCCCCCCCCCAACACTCCACATTATCAAGCATCTGCTGTGTGCCAATCAGGAGGCCTAGCGGTGGGCGCTACCCAGAAATGGGCAGAGGGTACATTTTGCAAACAATGTCAACCCCCACCCCCACCCCGCGGAGCTCAGGCCAGACATTTCCTGCATTGGTGTGACTGGAGAGTTGCAGGGACTTCTAGGGAAGATCGACCTCGGGCACTTCGGGGGGCCAACACAGCAGGTGTACAGACAGCCAGAATTGGGGCTCGGGGAGAGAGGCCACGCCCCATGTCTTCTATATAAAGCCAAGTAATAACTGTACTTCAGCCCGTTTACTGTTTTGTTCCCCGTTTGCCCCTTGTCTGCCTCTGTATCTACCTCAGTCTCCATCTGGTACTCCAGCTAGGAGGTCCTGGGAAGGTGGCTAGTAGAAATTGTCACTTCTCAAAGCTCTGTGCACACTGAAGCGAGGGTGGGGTGAGGGAGAGGCGCGCGTGCGGCCGCTGAGAGGGGGAAAATGGTGGGGGAAGCAGACAAGACTTGACCTTGGCAGAAAGGCTGCTGAAGACAGGGAGGAGGGTCCTCTGAGAGGTGGCCAAAGGGTTTTTAGTTCAGGACCTCCTCATTCACCTCCAAACGCCTGCTTCATCAGCTTTGGGAAAGATGATCCCTCGGACTAGGGGACAGGAGTGGTGGCAGGCGACATCATCAAAGATGCTTGTGGATCACAGGCTAACAGGAATAATAATCATAATCTAGCGGCTGCACTAAAGTACTAGCTCCTGAAACCTCCTGGTTACCCATAGACAGACCAAGTCTTCGTAACAAGGACCAAGAGCAAATTTTCACTTCTTTTTCTTTTACAAGTGAGCACATTGTCTTTAGGGGATTCTAGATCCTGGAAAAACACAGCTTTCTTTCTGCTGGACTGTTGCCGGTGAGGCTCTCCTTTCTAGTTTGGAGTAGGTCCTGGACAGCTTCAAAATGCACTAAGGCCTAAATGGGTTCAAAAAATTAGACCAGTAAGCCCCTCGAAATACTGCAGGCCTTTAATCCCAGATCCTGGGATGCAGAGGCAGGTAGATATGTAAGACCTGCCTGGTTTACATAGTAAATTCCAGGCCAGCCAGGTCTACACAGTGAGACTCTATCTCAAAAACAAAACCAAACCACAAACCAAATGGGTGGATAGATGGCTCAGTTATTAAGAGCACTTGCCAGGGGCTGGGGGCTGGAGAGATGGCTCAGCTGTTAAGAGCACTGGCTGCTCTTCCAGAGGACCTGAGTTCAATTCCCAGTACCTATATGGCAACACACAACTGTCTGTAACTCCAGTTCCAGGGGATAACACCTCCACACCAATATACATAAAATACATTTATAAAATAAGCTGGTGCACACCTTTAATCCCAGCACTCGGGAGGCAGAGGCAGGAGGATCTCTGTATGTTCGAGATCAACCTGGTCTATGAAGTCAGTTCCAGGACAGGCTCCAAAGTTACGGAGAAACCCTGTCTTGAAAAACAAAATAAATAAATAAATATAAATAAATTAATAAGTAAAGCACTTGCTACTGCAGTAGAGGACCCAGGTTTGTTTCCTAGCACCCACAATGGTGGCTCACAAGAGTCCCAGTGGCTCTGATTCTCTCTTATGACCTCTGAGGACACCAGGCTCACATTTGGTACACAGATGCACATGCAGACAGAACACTTCAAAGCATAAAATAGCAAGAGTAAAAAGATGAGGATGAGTTGGGTGTGGTGCAGGTCTTCAATTCTAACATTTGGGAGGCAGAAGCAGAAGGATCTCTGAGTTCAAGGCCAGTCTGATCTACACAGTAAGCTCCAGGCAGGACTAGAGCGATTGCTGGAGGTTAAGAGCACTTGCTGCTCTTCCAGAGTATGTGGGTTCAATTCCCAACACCCTCGTGGTGGCTCCCAACCATCTGGAACTCCAGTTCCAAGGGATCTTATGCCCTCTTCTGACCTCTGAGGGCACCAGTCACCCATGTGGTACACAGAATACACCCAGGCAAAACATTCGTACACATAAGACTAAAACAAATCTTTAGAAATGTAATGGAGAGTGATAAGAACCACCTCAACAAAGCTGTGGCACGGACTGAGTAAGATGATGTAGTCCATGGCAGTGCCTGGTGCCTAGTAAATCCTTCAGAAATGTTAGCTAGCTTCAACCTCCGTTTGCTTTCTCAGACCAGTTCTTGGAAGAAAGTGTACCAGGACCAAGGCAGAAGCTGCTGAGCACTTACGGTGGATTCCTTCTGAAAATGTATGTAGTTTCAACCAAGGCTGAAGCCTCAAGGCGGAGTATGAGGCACGCTCTGTGGACCACTCCAAGTATCTGGCTGTGCTGCCTGCTGGTGACCTGCAGCCCACAGCTTGTGGGAATCCCATAGGTTACCACCTTCCCCAGCCACTCAGAACTAACCACAGCTCCACACCCTTCTAGTTGAAGTCAAAGCAAACCCCACCCCACCCCCAACTTGATGAAAATCTTGGGCTGCCCTCACCTTGGGAAGCCTTGGGCCATCTGAATGCCATTTCTGGCTGCCTTTCTCTATAACCCTGCTGCTCCTCAGTCTGCCAGTCCTTTCCCGCTTGCCTCCCCATGTTCCACGTACCCATTGGGTAAGCCCCCACCAGGTGGGGCCAGTCAGACTGATTTCACCAGTCCCCAGGGGACAGCCACTGTCTCTGGCAATGGCTCATTCCCTGACTTGGCAGGAATTCCCCTTCTCCTATTGCCTGTAGATGCCCAGGAAGAGCCATCCAGCAGCGTCCTCTCAGTCTTTCTTTCTCCCTGTTCCCTGACTGGCTTGCCCTGACTGGCTTTCAGGCCTCAGAACCTGATTCCTTCCAGGAGCTGAAGGACCTCACCCTCACCAAGTCCACCACCCCACCCCACCCCCACACACCCTGCCACCACGGCCTCCAGTCTGTGCAGGACACCTTCCATCCTTGTACTCTCGTTTCGCCCTTCTGCCTTGACGGTCTCCATTGCCTCCTCTCTCAAGCAGTGCCCCATAGCCTGTTTCCTTCGGCAAATCACACCACGTCGTTTAAAGACACGATGATCTCTAGTTTCCTCACTTAAATCAACCAGGACAAAGTACCACAATGCCAGTTTCTGTGGCCCTTGCTTTCTACCACAGAAGCATGCTAGAAAGGCTGTGAAACAATCAATCAGACTTTTTGATGGAAAAGCATATTTAGCATCAGGGAGAGAAGTTAGTTTCAGAGGACCCCTTGTCCCACTCTAAAGCCTAAAGCCCAGAATCCTATTAGCCTTCCGTAAAGCAAGCCATCATTTTTCAGCTGCATTTAGTAACTACATATTTGTAGTCATAGAGCTTCCAGAAAGGCTAAGTATCCAAATGACAGGCAAAAATCTTGATGCCTCAGATTATGGCTAATCAGCATAGGCAGTGTTCATTCTACAAAGCTTGTTGAGGACTTGGCAAGATGGCTCAATGGGTAAAGGCACCTGCTTTTAAGCCTGAGGACCTGAGCTTGATCCTCAGGACAGGCATGGTGGAAGGGGAGAGAGAACTGAATCCCCAAAGATGTCCTGATCCCACTCACACACCATATAGCATGTTCACACCCATACAAACACACACACACACACACAGACTTTATTAGGTTTTTATGTAATGACATTTTTAAAAGAAAAGCTTGCTGACTAGCACCAAAATCAAGGTACTTCAAATAGATGATACAAAAAAATCAGTCTTCCATTCTTAAAATGGGGATTCCTATCAAGTTGCAGTAGCTTTCCTGCTGTAATCCTAGCATTCAAGAGACCGAGATAGGAGAGTTGCTGTAGATTCAGGGACAGCCTTGGCTACAGAGTGATTGGTACCCATCTTTTAAAAAAAAGCTCTTAGCATACAAGCCTGACCAATGGGTTCAATCCCTAGAACCCACACAAAAAGTAGAAGGGGGTGGTGCACATCTGTAATCCATGTCTAGATAGGAGGAGGAGACAGGGAGACAGGTAAATCAGTGGCACAACAGCTAGACAGACCCTTCCTCAAAACAGATAGAAGGCAAAAACTGACTCCCAAAAGTTGTCTTCTAATTTTGGCATGTGTGTCATGGACACACACACACACACACACACACACACACACACACACACACACCTATTTTAAAAGACTAAAGTCTTTTAAAAAGGATGACATGGTTGTCCTCCTGACAGTCCCCGGGACACTGAAAGCCCCTGCAGAACTTTAGGGGAACACTGTGTCTCAATTCTTGGGAGGCTGCTGAGGGGGGTTGGCAGCCTGACAGCTGATGCTATGGGCCTTGAGCTGGTTCCAAGCAGGTCAATCTTAGAGGCAGTGGCCACATCCAGGATCCTGGCTGTTGTCTGAGAAACACCGTGGCACCTCAGAGATGGTGGCAGGGAGGTTGGGAAGGGAAGAAGAGACAAGCCTATGATTCACTTGAAAGAAAAAGAAGTAGTCAGCAGAGCTCAGAAACTTAGGGCAAACCCC